CAGCTATTGGCAGGCGAGGGTTAAGAAAACGGGATCCACTTGTCCAACTTGTTGAGACAGCTTGGGGAAAGTCTGGTGCGCCTCAGGAAAAGAAAGCTGAGAAAGTCACAGGACGAGCGCCTTCTATTTAGCCCCAGAGACAGAAGTGCCGAATGGTTCAGGACAGAAGAATAGACTACCTATCAGGGTGCTTTATAAAATAAAAAGTATCGTTCCATCCAAAATTTTAAAATGTGTAAAAGGCGCTTTCAAAACTCGTAGGGGTTTTTGTACAGTAGTTGTTGATGTTCCTTTGAATTATATACTAATATCGCTGGGAATCTCAGGTGGGAGATGAATACAGCTGTAAAATTACTTTAAATTACTAGATCAAAAGCGTGCTTATTTATTTATTGGTGAATTTATAAACTGCTTCAGTGAAAGTGACTCTAAGCAGTGGCCACTACCTGCAACCGATATAATCATATTACAAAGGGAAAGATTTAAAATTTTAAAGTATTATTTAGGGTTCTTTCATTCATTATTTCCTTCTCTTTATTCCCTTCCTTTCTCTAAGAAATATTTTTAAAAGATCTTGTTACTGTCTTCTGTACCACACTTAACTTGGTTACTGAATTCACCTGCTTTGAGGGTTTTGTTCAGTTGTGACACATAAATGAAACAACGGAGCTGAACAACTGCAAAAATCAGACGCCCACCATTGGGGTTCATACTAAGCATGTTTCGTATGTTATGCAAATGCCTCCATTTGGATTTTAACTGACAAATTTAGTATATTGCCTGACGTAGCCTACATTGTAGAAATGCCAACTTTGGGGGCAAAGGCCCCAGTATGATAGATTTTTCTGCTGGGGTGGGTGAAATGACTCCAGATCAACATTTGACTCACATAAATCCTCCTTCACCACAGCTATTTCAAAAAGAAAAGATCAGTTATCGCATCATCTTACATCTGGACAAGGGCAGAATCGGAGCCAGAAAAGGCAGCAGAAACAAAGTATTGTGGGCTCCCAAAGGAAAAGCAGAGAGTGTGATATTTCAAAGGCAGAAAATTTCCTGGACCACCAGGTGAATATCGGGGGTGGGGGGGAAAGACACTTTAATAGCCTCAGTAGATCATTCATTGAACAGTCATTTTATTAGTGAAGAATTCAGTATCTCTTTGGAGAAAAGCAGTATTAAATATCCTTATTAGTACTGTATTAAATATCTGTCTTTGGGGAGAATTAAAGACTGTTCCAAGGGAAACAGAGTTTTAAGCACGCTTTTAAAAAATAAGCAGTCACAGAATGCTCTTCCATGTAAGTTTTAGATTTATGTGATTGCTTTTCTTTTTCCAATAATAGTTTCCTCTCGGGGACTGCATTTTCCCCAGGACTGGAGGTGAGATGGAAATGTGGCATCTCTACTTTCTCCTAGGGTGGGTGTCAGAAGTTCAGTGATGGGGGAAAACCGGGAAGTAAATTTTAAAACTTGTGTTTATTTTGTCCCTTTGTGGATCTGATAAGGCACAGATTCCCAGGCCTGGTTTACACATTACACAAAATTAGCGTGTTGCTTAATTCTGGTTTAACAGGCTGCACAATTCCAGACTATGGTTTGTAAACCAACATTTGACGCTTCACCCACTTCCAGCAGAATGAATGGAGTTAAAAACCTTATTAAAAGTAAAAATGATGAAATGGTTTGGGATAAAAACGAAGTGTGGGAAGGGTAGAAGGAGCATTTTAGGGTTTTGTATGGGAGTGATAGTATAATTGAAATAAACACTGCAAATGTTAACGTCCAGGGGAAAAGCAAGTCTGACTGTTATACCCCCCCTCCTTCTCATACCCCAGTGAATCAGGGAGGCGTCTGCCTGAGTCACTTCCAAATGTTATCTTGTTGTTCTGGACTTAAAGCATGTTTTACCCCTTTTGTCTAGATCAACGTTTCTCAACCTTGGCAACTTTAAGATATGTGACTTCATCTCCTAGAATTCCCCAATCAGCATGAGTGGACCAACTCCCCCAACAAGCATGCACAGACCTCAAATCCCAGAATTCCCCAATTAGCATGAGTCAACCAACTCCCCCAGACAGCATGTGAGGACCTCAACTTCTAAAATTCCCCAACCAGTATGGGTAGAGTTCAACTCCCAGCATGCTAGCTGAGGAATTCTGGGAGTTGAAGTCCACCCATTTTAAAAGTTGCCAAATTTGAAACACACTGTTCTAGTTTAATGTGATGGCTTGGTTCATCCAACATGGTGGGCACATAGACTTGCTCCTACAACAAACCAAACCAGACACAAAATATTTAAACCCATTTTAGCCTAGACTAATTGGTTGCAGTCCTAAATCCCATTAAATTCAGTGAGGCTTATGACTGAATAGACATATCCAGGATTATAATCCCAGACTGAATTTGATTTCCACATCTTTTGCTCAGCTGATATCCAGACAGTCTGGCAAACAGGGAAGTGAAAAAGAAGATTATGGGGATCACCCTTTTAAAAAAAAAACAATCTTGTAAACCAGGAAGAAAGAAAATTGATGGTAGAAAGAGGCAGAATAAAACAGAACACAAATTGTATCCATCTGCCGTAGACCAGCCCAGAACCATAGATTCAAGAGGAATTACAGAGAAGGCATTTACCAGGCTTGCCAATGATTGATTAATTCTGGCCACTATCTACAATGCAATAAGATCAAAGGTTAAATTTTACTATTTTTCTGCTGGGGAAAACTGTTTGCCAATTTCCCTACTGTGTCATTTTTAAAATGACTTCAAAATGTGTTTTTTAAATGCAACTTTCACCAATACTCTTCAACTGGTAGCAGATTCTAATGAACTGTGGCCAATCGCAGAAGCCAAGCCAGGCCAGTCTTGGATAGTACTTGGATAGGTGACCACTAGGAGAACCCAGGACTGGAGGCTAAACTGGGAATTTGAAAAACCATCCTAGAAGATAACAAATTGTTTTGGTAACACTAGATAGATGCAGGCATCACCTCATCAATGACATTATTGACCTTTTCTGTTCAACTGCCTTTAATATGTTGCATTTTATACACAATATTCCATCTATATACTACAAAAACTCTCATGTCTGTAACCTCCAACTGGGCAAAATGGTGCATCACAGAGCAACAATTTTTGAATCAAGGTATTTCAAATGTGCTAACTTACAGAATGAGTCCAAAATCTGGGACCCATTACTCCTGTGGGATTTGAATTTGGGGAATTTGTGGCTGCTTTAGCACTGCTGTGCTGTCATGCCACCGCAGTCAGCCCAGATCACATGATCTTCATGGGCATATCCCCAACATCTTCCCCACCTCCCTCTGTCCCCTGCACCCAATCAGCTGGTGGCGACTGGCTGCTTTGGAAACAAGGCAGAAATTTGACATCTCTTAACGGCAGTGGGTGTTGAGAGAAAGATGAGGGAGTGACTTGGATGCCTGCTGGCAAGGTAAGGCTGGCTGGGGTGCACTGGTGGTTGACAGGTGAGCCCTCTTCCTCCCTGGAGAGAGAGTCCCCTTGGGGACATGCCAGAACGGGCAGTGGGGGTGCAGTTTTCCACGCGGTCTGTGGCTCCCTTTGTTCCACCTCCCCCCAGCAAAGTGGCAGGCAGTTCTGCGGGTCAGCCAAGGAGGAGGAGGAGGAGGAGGCTTCATGGGGACTCTCCTGAGGGTGGTGAGGGGAGGGC